ATTTTTTATATATGTTAGGTATGTCACCGCACACCACCACTGTTGTCGTCCCATCATCATCATTGTCAACCATTATCACTGTCGTCCACCACCATCCACCACCCACACCCATCACCACTACTGTTGTAACTCACATCTGCCACGACCATCATAGTCACCCAAAACCCACCATCATCATCACTGTTATCATCCACAGTTGTCACCACATATCACAATCATCATCGTCTTCCACAATTACCACTATCGCCCACCACCACCACCACCAACATCGTCACCGCCCACCACCACTGTCGTCATCCCATCACCACCATTACCAACCATCATTACAATCGTCCACCACCACCCACGCCCATCACCACCACCGTTGTCATCCACGGCTACCACTACCATTATCGTCATCCAAAATCCACCACCACCATTACCGTTATCACCCACAGTTGCCACCACCACCATGGTTGTCACCAACCACCATCACCACTACCGCCCACCAGCACCAATACCGCTCACCCCCATTACAATCGGTACTTAAATTTTTTTATCTTTCTTTTATGTTTGTGATTTGATTTTAAATGTGAATACAAATTTGTTTATTGTTGACCATTTTTTTTATTATTCCGTGCTTTTAGGCGTAGGAAATAACTAGTATATATATATTTGCCCCAATTTCTACCCTATCAATTGAGATATCATTAAGAATTATAAGAAATTATTGAGTGATGCAAATAACTTTTTAAAAAATAAAAAAAGAGTGACAGTTAATTAGTGGGATAGATGAAGTATTGTATGAGACATACGGTAGAATACGATTAAGAAGCGTAGTAGTGGCGGATTAAATGACAACGAGGGTGATGGTGTATTGCCCAGGCCATCATTAAGGGACACAGATTCAAATGGATTTCATTTTAGATGCATAATTTTCATTTACAGTGGGATTTATTTGCACAATCAACTTCATATCACTAGGGGAAGTATTCGTAAGTATTTTATAAGTGTGATTTTGGAACATCATTATATAGCGCGATTTTAAAATTATATTCCCTTACATAACGCGATTAATACTATTCAATGAGAGGTTCGGACTGAGACCAAATTATATCAGGGTCACTAATTATCGTGGTCAAGAATGGAACCAGGATTTCCTTATGAGAGGGGCTAAATAGTGGCATAACATAATATTTTTATTTAATGTGGGTCATTCAATAACATCGTTGTTTCCATTTTTTCACATGCATAAAATATATCAGAATCAATATTACAGGGTACGGTGTACTCATTATTTTAAACAAAATGAATAAAATTAATTTAAACTAAGTCAAATAAATAGATGTAAAAATAAATCAATTCATCAAATAATTAATTATAATTATTATCATCTAATTATTTGAATATAATTAGATTTCATCATACTTTTGACAAATGTGAAGAGAAAGTGTGCGGAGAGAGAACAAATATTTGAAATTCTTAGTCTAAATAGTTTTAAACTTTTCATGTAGTGCTTTAATATGTTACAATTTGTCCTCTTAACTATGACACTAATTTCACTTCAACAATACATGAAAAATATTAATTTTTATAGTTAATGGTGCAATATAGTCAAATAAAACATCAAGAGTATAAAATAAAATTATTATAATTTTAAGAATTTCAAGTGACACATAAAATGTAATAAAAATATAATTTTAGGGATATAATATATAATTTTCAAAAGTTGAGGGGCCAATGCTCCCATGGACCATTACATGGCTCCGCCCCTGCTCGTGGGGTGGATGCCATGTAAACTGTGCATCCATTAGTAGACCACGGTCCGACAGGGGTGGTGGCTTTGGGACTGCAACAACTGGCATAGTTAGAGTTAGCCTCCGAATACCATAGCACTTGGGTTGAAACGAGTCCTCAAAGAAAACGTGTAAGCCAAATGTGTGTGTTGTGATGACAAAACCTTTATTGTATCTCTCCGTAGCTAAGCACTAAGAAATTATTGGCCATCTATATGCAGATTAGTGGAGTGTTTTTTATTTTTTAGTAAAAAAAAGTGATCTTCTGAGACTGTATAATTCATTCTAAAGTCATACATCTATAAAATAACGAGAACAATACTGTAAAATATGCTTATAAGGTATGATAATTTATTAGGTAAATTTCACTAACATTCCTTGTTTATAAACATAATTTTAGGAACACCTCTTGTATTTTTTGAAATATCAATGCATTCCTTTTTAGTTTATAGATTCATTTCAACTAGCATCTCTACAAGCGGACACGTCCGTGANCCAAATGTGTGTGTTGTGATGACAAAACCTTTATTGTATCTCTCCGTAGCTAAGCACTAAGAAATTATATGCAGATTAGCGGAGTGTNGTGTGTTGTGATGACAAAACCTTTATTGTATCTCTCCGTAGCTAAGCACTAAGAAATTATTGGCCATCTATATGCAGATTAGTGGAGTGTTTTTTATTTTTTAGTAAAAAAAAGTGATCTTCTGAGACTGTATAATTCATTCTAAAGTCATACATCTATAAAATAACGAGAACAATACTGTAAAATATGCTTATAAGGTATGATAATTTATTAGGTAAATTTCACTAACATTCCTTGTTTATAAACATAATTTTAGGAACACCTCTTGTATTTTTTGAAATATCAATGCATTCCTTTTTAGTTTATAGATTCATTTCAACTAGCATCTCTACAAGTGGACACGTCTGTAACACATCAAAACAAGAAGTTATGTCATTCAATATTTATCCATTAATGACAAATTTACCCCTCAATGGAGAAACTAAAAAATATTTTCTTATCTATTCCCTCGTTCATTCCTTTACAGAGATAAAACATATATATAAAAAAAACTAATTCAACATAAAACCTAAGAAAAGCCTTATTTAACTAAAATAAAAAAAATTGCAATTAAGAGAAAACTCCAATGTTTGAATGTTAAATTAACGGACATTTGGTGNACCCCTCAATGGAGAAACTAAAAAATATTTTCTTATCTATTCCCTCGTTCATTCCTTTACATAGATAAAACATATATATAAAAAAAACTAATTCAACATAAAACCTAAGAAAAGCCTTATTTAACTAAAATAAAAAAAAATTGCAATTAAGAGAAAACTCCAATGTTTGAATGTTAAATTAATGGACATTTGGGGNGAAAAGCCTTATTTAACTAAAATAAAAAAAAATTGCAATTAAGAGAAAACTCCAATGTTTGAATGTTAAATTAACGGACATTTGGGGTTAATTTGAGAAAAATTGAATGTTAATTGAAGAAAATTAAAGGTCAATTTGATCTTGATTTGACGAAATCAAATATTTATTTGGTGAAATTTAATTTTAAATGAATATTGAACAATCAATGTGTGTGATTAGGACAAAGTATTCGAGGCTTATTTTATAGGGGTAGGTTTAATTTGGTTTTGCCTCCAAGAAATTCTTGACCATAGAAAAACTGAAACGAGGAGGAGATTCTTCTCCGGACTAGAGGCTTGCTGTGGTTCCATTCTTGTCTATTTTCTATGTTGTCTCCTTTTTCGTTTCAAGCTTCTAGAACTCGGTAGTCAACAACTATTGCCCAATAAGAAAGACCCNAATTCGATATTCAACAACTACCCATGACCATACAACCATTCAAAAAGAGGGAGATGTGTCACATTCATAGGACCATATTATGGAGCGATAAATCACACTATCAGTCTNTTGTCTATTTTCTATGTTGTCTCCTTTTTCGTTTCAAGCTTCTAGAACTCGGTAGTCAACAACTATTGCCCAATAAGAAAGACCCGCCTCTTTACTAAATTTCGGTTATTTAAAAAATAAAAATATTTCGATGTATTACGAAAACGCTTCGATCTATTTCAAAAGTAAAATAAAAAAATAAAAAAATTATTTTAGTTAAAACATTGGTCGAAATATACTAAAAAAATTTAAAATATTTTNATTTATGAAAAGCTAACTTGAATACTTTCTTGGTTTATTCTCTCTTTCAATTGTTATTTTGCACTTCATGCAACTCAATAATCACCATTTTTTTTTTGCAATATGGAAAGGGTTTATGGACCTCAATAGTCGAGTATTTACACAAATGGAGGATTAGGATTGGACTAATGGCCACCACAGTTTGTTGTTAAATCGTTAGGTCACAGGTGTAAAAATTTCAACTAGTGACAAAAAAAAATATTTACATCAATGAGGAGCCATCATACAGCTCAATAACCNTTAATTTTTTGTGTGGCTTTTTTGGTACCTTTAATCAAGGATTAAAATTTTGTTTTACTGTATTATTACAGTCTCCTAGAAAAAGAAAATGTTTCGACCCATTTCAGAAATAGAATAAAAACAAAAATTTAAGAAACTATTGGTCGAAATATACCGAAATATCTTGAAGTACCTTAAAACATTTTGAAATAATTGTTCAAATGAATTGAAACATTACAAAATACCTCAAAATATTATAAATACCTCGAAATATTAGAATATTAATNAAGGGAAAATTATATTTTCACTCCGTCAACTATAACGCAATCTCAATTTACCCCTCAATTATTAACTTCCTCATGTTACCCTCTCAACTATTTGAATATGTTTTACATTGGATCAATACCAATCATCCGTCGTATTTTGGATAGAAATGTCAAAATACGTAGTATAATATAGACATTCAATGTCTACAATTTGTGCAATGTAATGTAAGTTCATAGTTATATTTGATGGTGCAAAGTTAAAAAAAGTAATAGTTGGGGGCCAATGCGAAATCAATAATCTATTTTGAAGTGTTATGTGAGAAACATAATAATAAAAGAGGCCGTGTGAAAAATGACATAATTGAGCAGTCAAAGTGTAATTTTTAGTCTTTTGTAGGAAATTAAGTGATTGTTGTCTCAATAGTCAACGATTTTTCACTATAAATACAGAACGCACCTTTACTTCCCATGCAACACCCACATACTTTGTTTATCCCATTCATCAGAGAGAGAGAGAGAGAGAGAGAAACCACAAAAATGGCGACCATTATCACTACCAACCCAGACCCGCACTACAACAGACTCGAAGAAGCAAAGAAATTAGATGAAACCAAAACTGGAGTCAAGGGTCTCGTCGATTCTGGCATAACTATCATTCCTCGCATCTTCCACAACCCACCGCAAAACCAGCCCATTCGAATATTCAAAGCCCAAAACCCCAAACTATCACTCCCCATTGTCGACCTCTCTGGCCACCGGTCAATGGTGGTTGATCAGATTCATCATGCAGCCTCAACCTTTGGGTTCTTCCAAATAATGAACCATGGCATACCAAAAAGTTCCATGGACCATATGCTTTCATCTATCAAGTCGTTCCATGAATTACCAGAGACCACTAAGATGCAATATTATAGTAGGGACACGTCTCATGGTGTAACTTACTTTACTAACTTTGATTTGTACAAGTGCAAGGAGGCTAATTGGAGGGATTCACTAGAGGTCCACTTGGGACCCACACCTCTGGAACGAGAATACGTTCCAGAGGTATGCAGGGAAGCATTGGTAGAGTGGGACGGCAGGGTGGTGAAGTTGGGGGAGGAGTTGATGGGGATGTTGTGTGAGGGATTGGGGGTGGAGAAAGAAAGATTGAAGAAAATGTCATTTTTTGATAAGAGGAATATGTCTGGACATTACTATCCGTATTGTCCCCAACCAGAGTTGACGATGGGTCTCAAGTGGCATACGGATCCAGTGGTGTTGACGGTGTTGTTGGTGAATGAGGTTACCGGGTTGCAAGTGAAGCATTGTGAGGATTGGATTGATGTGGAGCCTGTCCCTGGTGGTCTCATTGTCAACATTGGTGATATGCTTCAGGTAAGTCACTCAATCATATATTTGCCAAACTTGTTCTTAGTTACAAGTCTTGAGCCTCAGAAGGTATAGTACAATCATTATTAATACAAACTTATATTTTTTTAAACATATACGTCCAATGATGATTTTTAACATATATTTTTAAGTAAAATACACTTTTGATCCTCAAAATATACGCGCAACTCTTTTTCGCAGATGATATCCAATGACGAATACAAAAGTGTGGAACATCGAGTGTTAGCCAACCCCAATCGTAAGCCACGTGTCTCAGTTCCAGTTTTCTTCACTTCAAGCATGATAGAGGACTCGTATGAACCATTACTAGAACTGGTGTCCTCGGAGAAGCCGGCTGTTTACCAGAAATTCACAATCTCAGATTTTATGAACAAATTCTACTCAGAGGAATTGCAGGGCAAGTCTGTGATGAATACCTACAAACACTCGAACATATAAGTTCTGATGTTGGACATAGGAGGAAGGAAATCATATCTGATTTGCTTAAACTATTACAATAATTGATTTCCTTAAAATATACTTTATTGTAATGTTTAAAAGAAATAATAAATAAAACAAAGGGAAAATGACACTTTTCCCATATTAACTATGGACTCGATTTTATTTTGTCCCTTGAACTATTAAACTTTTTTACATTGCCTCCTCAATTATTTGAATTATTTCATATTGCCCCAAATAAGAACATCCACTATCTTTTTGAGAGAAAATTGCCAGTGTGTCGGGACAAATTGAAAAAATTCAAACAATTCGGGTGACAAAATGGAATAATTTTTTCGTCAAATTTGTATTAGATGTTAATAATTGGGGCGATGTACGACTGATCACATACTTGAAGCTATGATGCAAAAATATGATAGTCGAGGGGAATGTAGAGTCATAGCTGAGGGGGTAAAAGTAAAATTTGTCCTAAAATAAAATGCTATATAAAAAATAGTGGGATTCAAATCTCCTCCAGTATTTTTCCTTTCAATTTCGTTGATAGATAGATAAAAGTGGGTCCCAAATTATATAGGATGAGTAATCTACCTACAAAAAAAATTAGAAAAAAAATATATTATAAGAGATCTCACTCCAAAATATTTCAGTGATGCCCTTGTATGTTTCATATGTGTATGCCCTTTTATGTTTCTTAGACGACTATGCAGTTTGAAAAAAACTTATTTTGCAGAACCAAATAAAGGAAGGTTGGTGCAAGTTGCTCTAACATGCTTGGCAGGGATAACAATCGTGTCGTGTTTGGGTTGTGTCATATCGGGTTCGGGTTGAAAACACATCAACCCAAACACGACTTGCGAGTTAAACGGGTTAGGTTATTTAGACACGAACACGGCTTGACTCGAAACACGATTAACCTGACAAGACTTGTGACCCGAGATTTACACAGGTCGTGTTCGGGTAAACACGACCCAACCTACCTAACACGACCCAACTGACACGACTCAACCCGGCATGACATAACAAAAAAAGGAAAATTTTAGATATGTTACAAATATCCCAAAGACAAGTCTACATAAAACAAAGACTAAAACATCACAAATATCCCAAAAATAAATACAAATCTCCATAATATTACAAATATTCAAAAAGCTTTACTAAAATCCCCAAGCAATATTACAAGCATCTTTCAAATTCTCTTCATCTCTTAAATATTGCCANAAATCCCCAAGCAATATTACAAGCATCTTTCAAATTCTCTTCATCTCTTAAATCTTGCCAACATCAACAATCAAGATCCACTATCCCCTATAAAAAGCCCACATAAAAAGAGTTAGGTTTTATGACTCAACACACATCAACAAACACATAAGATTGAGAAAAAGAGTTTAAGTTTTATGACTCACACACATCAACAATCAAGATCCACAATCACATTTGAACATTGCACCGATGCATCCTCCTCATTTTTGTTCAAAGTCGGATTTATAACATTCTTGCCATCCTCTCTGTGGTGCCTCAATTTCATTGGGTTGCTTGATGATAATTTAGAGGCTAACTCGCTTTTGATGGGTTGAGTTGTGCATCAAATGGACCATTGTCNAAAAAGAGTTTAAGTTTTATGACTCACACACATCAACAATCAAGATCCACAATCATATTTGAACATTGCACCGACGCATCCTCCTCATTTTTGTTCAAAGTCGAATTTATAACATCTTCTATCAGCTTTTCCAATTGCACTTGTGAATTTTCTAAATGATAATAAGGAAAGCATATAAATAAGAATTTAATATTTGTAAGAATAATTAAATATTGCAATAATCACAAATTATATTTATTACCTTTTTTTGCACATAACCAATCTCTAGTGCACATCAAGGCCTCCACAACATGAGGTTTCAAAGCACTGCGGTATTGGTCAAGAACCCGACCACCAATACTAAAAGCTAATTCTGAAGTAACCATAGAAATTGGAATAGTTAACACATCACGGGCCATCATCGCAAGTTCCGGATAACGATACTGATGAGCTCTCTAATAATCAAGAACAAGAAGTTATGTTTCTATGTCAACCCTAGACTCATCCAAATACAATTGCAATTGACTTTTTTTNCGATACTGATGAGCTCTCCAATAATCAAGAACAAGAAGTTCTATTTCTATGTCAAACCTAGGCTCATCCAAATACAATTTCAATTGACTTTTTTGTGTTTTAAGATCAGATGCATTGCTCTCACTGACAAATGCCTACATTATCAAAATCATATACTTTCAAATCATAGACTATCAATATTATTAATCTAATAGAATAAAAATTATAAAACAAAAAATTAAATACCTTCAAATCTAACACAGGTTGTGTGTTCAAGATTGGCTCACAAGCAACTACACTACCACGGGGAACAATCGATGATTGAAAAGAAGAGGTGACAACAGATTTGCTCATATACTCATCAAATAGAGAAAAAAGTTTGTCTCGAACATGAAAATACTCAAGAGAGCCTTCACCACAAAGCTTCTTATAGCACCACTCCACAAAGTCAAGTTTATAACGAGGATCAAACACAATTGCAATGGGCAATATCACGCTATACTCCAACCAATACTTCTCAAATTTTCTATACATTTGACAAGACATTCTTCTCATAAAAATATCCAAACTTTGCATTTCTTTATTCAAAGTCAATTGAATACTGAAAACTTGTTGAAAGTACAAGTTTGATGTGGGGTACTTGGAGCCAGAAAAAATAACAGTAGTATCATAGAAATTTTTTAAAAACATCTGAATCTTTTCAACTTTGATCCATTCCTCTTGACATGGGCAATGCTTAAAATTAGAATCCACAAGTTGCAAATTACAAAAAGCACGACGGTAATAAATTGCACTTGCAAGCATCAAATATGTTGAGTTCCATCCAGTAGGAACATCTTGCCTCAAACTTTTTTTGCTATCTAAAGCTGTTTGTGCAACACACTTTAAGAATTTTTATTTTTTTGCCTGAGAACCTTTTACATACTTGACACTCTTTCTGACTTTTTCCACAGCTAAATCTATTTCTTTCAACCCCTCTTGCATAATCAAGTTTAGGATATGAGCACAACAACGAATATGAAAAAATCCACCATCACCAAGCAAAGCATCTATCAAATTAAGTTGATTCTTAAGCATATCAACCATGACATCATTTGCAGAAGCATTATCCAAAGTAATTGAAAATAACTTTTTCT